TTTTCCCCTTGGTTTAAAAGTATACCAAGGTGTAAAGGTGTGGTGCCTTCAGGGTGGAAAGTTTGTTTGTGGACTTTGATTACTGGGTTCAGTTTTTAGCCACTGCCTCCCTTGTCAGTCTCAGTGGGGTTTATACCAAAACACCAAGTTATTTAAAAGTGGCAACCTCACTTGTGACTTTTGTATCACTTTTTAGGCAGAATCACTGTACTCACTGAAAAATTACAATCAGGGGAAAATACCACAACTTAATTCAAAAATATTTTTTGTAGTAAGCATATAGAACCTAATCATTTCTACTTAATTCCTAAGATGTTTGCAGACTGAGTGAATGCAAAGGTGGTATAATCACCAAGATTAGTTTTGTTTTTTAAGTGACTATTTATTTGTCTGCAGTGTGAAGAAAGAAAGAAAACTTTACAACTCTGTGACGTCTTAAAGTGTGTGTGTGTGTGTGTGTGTGTGTGTGTGTGTGTGTGTTGCCCCTGAATAATATAACCCTGTCATAGGGCACAGCTATGATTTTAGAGGCCAAAACAGTGTAATATCAATTCTTCTTAACCTCTCTACGAGCATCTACAACTTTTTGTGTATTAAACCTACCCTTGACTTTTTATAAAGTGAGAGTTTTTCCCCTTAAATCAATTTTTTAATGAATAAATCATATAATAATATAATTATTCCATTAATATAAGGAATAATTATATGAAACTGCAAATATTTAATGGATATATATCCATTATTTTAAATATTTATATATTTAAAATTTAACATTTTAATATTTAAAAATAAAAATTTAAAATATTTGTACCTTCTTTTAATTTCAGTTATACTTCATTACAACTTTGGGAAACCATTATTATCAAATAGGAAGACCTGTGATTCAGGAAGGAGAAAAGCCTTCCTGAGGCTTTTCCTGAGGCAAAAAACATAGTCTAAGCTGGTTGAGTACCCACTACTCCATAGTAGATATTTGGTACAATTTTATCTGCACAACACCTTATACTTCTTCATCATTTTACAGATAAGTTAACTGAGGTTCAACAAAGCATCCACGTTTACCCCACAAGAATAAACCAGGCTCAAAAGCCAGCACATGGAGACAGGGAAGTGGTCATGTGAACTGAGTTTCCCTCCAGTTATGAGCCCTGATGTCCTGGAGGCTGGTCTGTTAGCTCTGTGACAGTGTGATAACTGTAATCATCACAATTGGTCAGCTTTGGAGACACAGATTTTTGCTGGATGGCATTCACCAGGTTCCCCAGCATGTCAGGGAGGTGATTCTTTTAACACTGATAACAAACTGGACAAGCCTGAAATAGCCCATCCTTTGCAGCACCCTAACTACAGAGAAAGAACAATCAGCCAAGATTGGATCAATCATGCTCAGGCTTGGAGACAGAACTGCAACCAGTGGCATAGGGGTTAGTTCTTTCAGTGAGTAAAAGTTTATATATAATAAGAGTTACACTGGAAATCGGGAACTGCTATGCTGCTCAGGATGCTGAAAATGACTTAAGCAGGATGAAGGGAGGGAAGCTGGACTAACTTCTGGGGACAAACAGAGCTGGGGAGAAGCTGTCTCTTTCAGTCCTTTCTGAGCTTTCTCGTCTACTCCCCCAGCATCTGTAAGGGCTATAGCTTCTAAGGAGCTAGCTGGCATAAAAGAATCTCTCAAGACCCAACCTCACCCCTGCTTCTTCCTGACAATCTATGGGATTTAGAGCCCATAGATTTAGAGCACATTTAGAGCCCATCTCAAGGGGAATGGCTATTACCAGAGGCTCATAATGAGACAAGACAGTGGGATCATATAACCTCCAGCCTCATGCAGTAAACCAGAAAAACCAAGACCATTTGGAGATCAAAGAACCTCAGTCCCATATTCATTCATTTGATCAATCAATCAACATATTTGTGGTTGGGAAAAAGCACTGAGGCCTTAAAGGAGACAAAGCTTCTCTGATGTGCAGTCAACTGGACAACAGCAGGGCAATCAGAGGAAACCAGGTTGCCAAGGTATCCAGGATTGACCAGGACCAGGACTGTCACAGAAGCAGTAGTATCACAGGCCCAGAAAAGGCAGGAAAATGAAGTTCCCAGAACACAGTCTGATGCACGGGGCATCAGGAGAATGAGAGGAGGAGTCCTTGCATTCCTGTATCCCTTTTTCCATGTTCACCTTTTCCACAGATGGCGGTTAGAGTGAGTGCTTCCTAACTAAGCATGTCACACTTCTCTGGCTTTTAAATGTTCTTAGGATTAAAGCTAAACTCATTACTGTGGCCCTTAGGACCCTGCAGGACACTGTCAACCCATTTGATCTCGACTCACTGTGCTACCCTCCACTCCCTCGAGAGCCCAAAGTCAGATTGTTTTATAGCTCATAAATTCGATGAGGACTGAGTTCATGTCTCCTCACTCACCTTTTATATCAGTACTCAGCTTATTTGCCTAACACAGATGGTGTTTAGTCTGAATGGTTGGTTGGTTGGTTAGTTGGTGGGCTGGTTGATTTAAATACTAGAACTCACTGCCAATATTGTGCCAATATTCAGCCATAAGCTGGGTGCTGAAACAGATCACTTCTATAAATGTAGCCCTGACTCTTATTTTGTCCATGGCTTGGATGGCATGGAGAAGCAGAGCAAAGCTCAAACTCCAATATTAAAGCTCAAAAGCAACAAAGTCCTTCATCAAAGCCTCCTAAGAAGATATTACAGAAGCTCTACTGATTTCAATGGTATTTATAAAAATGTGAGAAATATAGCAACAAGCGATTGCAAGAAATGAAATTTAACCGAGTATGTGGTCTTACGATGACTCAAAAAAATACCACTAGTACTATTTATTCATCTAGCTCCCTTTTGCAATGATACTTTGACCAAGAGTCAGGAAAATAAACCAAACATTTCTTCCCTGGTGCCAGTAGGATGTCAGTCAATTCAATAGGTCTACAAAGGTCATATGAGCCAGACTTGGTTAAGTGCAGCCTTCCCCAACGTCACAATCTAGCGGAGAAAAAGCTTCTCTCATTTCTGGTATGTGATATGGTCATTTGGTTTCTTTCTCTACAGTGGTTGGCTCCATAACCTAGCTTCACGCAGGATACATTTGAACACAGTATAAATTGAAGGTCATAATAAAGGGGGAGTCACAGTTGATGAAGATTAATTAAATGTAACCTAAGGTGCTCCAGTAAGAATAAAGGAAATATTTGCAAATGAGAAAAGAGAAAATTGGCACAAGATCTAAGAGGTAGACATCATAAATTAATAGCACATGTGACTCAAGCCCATACATAAGCAAACTCACACATCTTGTAGAGAGAGCATTACCATCATTTAAGCACAAAATTGAAGGACTTGGTATGAGAATGAGCTTGTTTGTATAGAAGCAGAGTTTTGCTGTACTTTCCAGTGCTTATGTACTATCAGCAACATGCTGTCTGGTCTTTGCTTGGATGCATTATCTGACAGATGAACAACTGTTATTTAAAAATCTGCCATGAAAACGCCAGGCACTGTGTGATGGGTTAGATTTAAAGTGGTGGTAAACCTATGGCACAGGTGCTGCAGTGGTCTGTTTGTTATCACTGAAAGCTCCGAAAGGTTTGTGTGTCACTGGCTTAGAAGGTGTAACACAGATTCACTGAGCTTTGCTTTTGACAGCTCATTTTCCCTGCATAGAAGTATGTATTTAGGGGCTGGGGATTTAGCTCAGCGGCATAAGCGCCTGCCTTGCAATTGTGTGGTTGTGAGTTCGATCCCTGGTACTGATAAAAATGAAAAAGACAAAAAAAAAAAAAAAAAAAGAAGTATGTATTTAATACCAACAGGATTTTCACAGTTATTAAGTTAGGTTCCTTCTGTCTTCTGCTTACTAAGAAGTTCTGTTCTTTGTGAAAGTTTGAATATTTCTTACTTTTTTTTAGAATCAATCTTAATTATCTAAAATTATCAATTATCAATTGCTCAGTCTCAAAGCTTACCTATGGTTATAAATATTAATTCATTGCAGGGAAGGGGAAAGAGAAGTGAGCTGACTTAAAGACAAAATCCAACTATTAGAAGACAAAAAAAGGGGCTAGAGGTGGCGGTACATGCCTATAATCCTAGCATTTGAGAAGCTGACACACAAGGACCTCCATGAATTGAAGGCCAGCCTGCACTACAAAGTGAGACCCTGTCTCAAAAAATGTAAGAAAAAAAGGAGAAAGGGGAATTAATTAGTTAAAGTACCTGGTAACCATTAGACACCAAATTTTGTCTACTGAGACATGGGAGATCCTGAGACTTCCACCTGGCTAGATAGGTTTGTCGTTATCTTACAAAAATAAAGCAGAGGGGCTGGGGATTTAGCTCAGCGGCATAAACGCCTGCCTTGCAAGCAGGCAGTCGTGAGTTCGATCCCTGGTACCGGTAAAAACAAAAAAGACAAAAAATAAAATAAAATAAAGCAGAAATAAACCAGAAGGCAGATATCTATGAATTCTACTGAGGAACTTTTAAAACCACGATGCTCAAACTCTGCTCTCAGAAATTCATATTCCTGTCTTCTAGGGATGACTGTCAACAGCATTCAATGGTCCCTGGGGAATCCTTTGTGAGCTAAAACTGGGAAGCACCCCACATCCTCCCCTCTGTCCCCCTAATCCTGGCTATAAAGGGAGCTTACAGGTGAGGAGGGCAGGTGAGGAAGATAGGTGAGGAAGGTTTTGAAAGAGAGATAGAGACTGCAAAGCTGGACATGAAGTCCTCATTCTTCTGAGAAACCAAGGAGAACAACAGTTAAGTTTTTCATTAAGCAATGTTTAATATTTAGCATTTGTGGAACTATGGTACTTATAGATGATGTCTCTAAATATTGGATGTAATTTTCACTGCTAGCTTTACATTAAATCCATTTCATAATCGCCGAATTTTGTTTTACCCACAGCCTCTTCTCCCAAGCACATTACTGAACTGAGAGCTGATTATGACACAGTCCCTTTCACTTACTTTAATTCCTTGAGATCCATAGCCCGGTGGCCCAGGAGGGCCAGGCAAGCCTTTCTGTCCAATATCACCCTGTGGGAAAATGGGAAGGAATTAAAGACAAAGCGTAAGAAGACTAAGGAAGGAAAAACCATAAACGTTGCTGCTCTTGGCTCCATGCTTACTTCACTCTGACCAGGACCTTCTCTCTGCATGTGAGCAATTTTGTATTTTATTTAAAGCAGAATTTTTTTTAAAATTTTAGTTTAGTCAAATTGCTTTTTTAAAACATCCTACACTAAGGCAAATATTTTTTAAATGATAAGACAGTGCTGCTTGGAATAAGCAGAAGTGGAGGCCAGCAGTTCCTCCTTGGTGCCTCCAAAGATCCTAACCCTAAAACAGCAGGCCGTCCCACACTGGATCTAAAAACATGGAGGAAGGACTCCATGTGTCTGGTAACACGCTGCTGCATTGCATTGTGGAGTTCCTGGGACTGCAGGTAAAGATTCAGTGACTATTGCTGTAAACTGGTGTTAGGTTTTCAGGAAAATATGTAGCAGCAGCCCAAATGCCCATCAACTGATGGATAAAAAAGATGTGGCCTTTTTATGCAATGGAGTACTAGTAAGTAATAAAGAAGGACAAACTTGACATAATTCGAGGTAAATGGATACACCTTGAGATCATACTCTTAAGTGGAACAAATCAAATACACATGTAAATACTGCATTGTTTCTCTCCTGTGAGAAACCAAAAGTATAAATCAGAGCCAAAATGTATAATTGATATTATGAAATAGGAATAAAATGTTCAAATGGGGAAGAGAACTAGGGAGGGAAGAGAGGACAAGAAAGAAGAGAAAAGAAGGAAAACTGGAAACAAATCTTTTGTGAATAAGGAGGCGAAGAAGGGTTGAAGGGATGGGAGAGAAATGGGGGGGAGAATCAAGATACAGGTACAGATTCCCTGTAATAAATGTGAGCATTACATACACCTAAAATGTACCAATAAACTTATATTTTTAAGAAAGAAAATAGGCAGTGGCAAATGAATATAGAGTCTCCTAATGTGTGCTCATAAGCTTGATTATTAAGGAAGGATTTCTTGGGTGGGATCAGATCAGAAAGCAATACTCACCACCCTGTGGAGTTCTCTGGTGCACGTGCCTACAGACAATGCTGTACTTAGCACGTGGTTCTTACAAATGTATGCTAGGACTACTGCTTTGCTGCATAAATATCACAAAAATGGCCACAACCTCGCTGAGTGATACAATTCTCATAAGACCACATTATATCAGAATGACATTTCTAAAACATTGGTGTGTGGCATATGAATAACTGTAAAGGCTCTAAGAAAATGAATTTACTTAACTCAGAAGTCCCTAAATTAATAGGGAATGGAGAAATGGGGTAGATTCGCTTGTTGTTGTACAAGTCAGTATTGTTCTTTCTGGTATGAAAAAAAAAATGTTTTTCTGATTGTAAGAGGAAGACTTGCAAAAATATTTTAAAACCAAAAATAAATATGACAGTGAAAAATTAAAATAGACCCATTTTCACTTCACCCAATCACAATGGCCAATGATATCTCAAGAGGTTCTTCATCATGTAAAGTGACTTACAAGGTTCAGAATAGCCTCTTGTCAAACAAGAGTTAACAGATAAAAAAAGAGATAAGCTGAGAACCCTGATAATTCTGGAATTCTCAGTGAAATCTTTGATTCATAAAGCTTACTCCCTCTCCTCAGTGATGATGGGGTTGAAATTCACGTCTGTGCATTTTTGGACCCGAATACACATGTTTGAAAACTGAATTGATGATGGGTAGTTTGTTGACATGTTTTCCTGTAAAAATGCTTGACACTTCTTTACCTTTCTTTTAAAACAAAAACTATTTTCTGAACAAAAGCATAATCAATAAAAATAGTTTTTCAAACTCAGCACTATCGACATTTTGGAGCTGGATGATTCTTTATTATGAAAAGTACTTGTTCATCATAGTGTGTTTGGCAGCATCCCAGGCCTCTACCTACTAAATTCCAGCAGCATTCCCAGTTGGGGCACCCAAAATGTTTGCAGATATTCCAAGTGTCCCCCACAGGAGAGGAACTCCCCTCACTGAGAAACACTGGATTGAAAGAATAAAAAGATGAATAACCCCAAATTACCACAGGAAGGAAGAGAAACAAAAATAAGGGCAAAAATATTCAAAGGAAGTTCTTGCTTTCTAGGGGCACAGTATTGTAGAGCCTGTGCTCTGGATCTGCCAGTGTGGACACAGCACATGGGTATTATACCAGTCAGTCACCTGGTGAAAGACTAACCGGGGCACCTCTGGCCAAAGAAAACCTAAAAGTACTTTGAGCACACTGATCATACTTGAGCAGCTGACTTTCTAGTTTTTTTGTAGGAAGTGCATAGACTATAAATTTAAGTATTCTTTTACTAAAATTTCAGATGATGTGGAAAAACAAGATTCTGTATCAGTAATAAAGAAAGAAAAGTTAACACCAAATGAACACTTAGTATGTTGTTTACTTGGCTGGCATTAATGGTACATGTTGAATATCCCTATTAGAAGTGCTTAGATGAAAAGTATTTCAGATTTTAGTTTCTTTTTAATTTTGGAATATTTAATAAACATAAGTATTTGGGGGAATAAGACTGAACTTTAGACACAAACTTCATTTAGGTTCCTTATAAATGGAGCCTAGAAGATACTTTTAGGCAATACATTTAGTGCACTTGGGTTTTGACTAACACTTATCACATGAAGACAGATGTGAAAATTTCTATTTTCAGTGTCAAGCTGGTACTTGTGATAGTTAACTGTTGTGCCAATTTGAGTCAAAAAGTGCCTGGCTGCTTAGCTTAATACAGTCCTGGGTATGACTGAATGATGGACTTCCCAAAGAGGGAAGACTCACCCTGCGTATGGGCGGCACTAACCAATAGGCTTGAAGCCTGAATGGACTAAAAAGGGAAAGAAGTCTCACTTCTGATTCTTTGGAGAAGCCCTAATCTTTGCCTTCACCTTTAGACTTCCAGTGTTCATCTCCAGGTTTACAGCACACATCCTTCACCCTTTCAGCTCGGACTTTGTCACAGTGTTTCAAAATTTTGGAACTTGAAACATTTCAAATTTTAGATTTTCAGTGTAGGGATGCTCACCCTGCTTCTATCCCCCAAGTATGGCACAGACATGAAGACTCACCTTTGGCCCTTGGGTTCCTATACCCCGAGGCCCAGTGGGACCTGGAGGACCTCTGACCCCAGGCTCTCCCTGAAAAGATATAATGAATGACAAGTTACTTATTAAATAAAAAATTTATACTGCATAATACTTCATTAAGTATGCACATTACATTTTATATTTTAATATTCTAGAAACCTTTGAATTTGATTAAGATATTAACTGAACCCTTTTCTCCTAAATCACTTTCCTATTTGGCACATTTGTTATCACCCTTTGTTTCATTTCTTATTGCCAATCATACAATCTTTAAAGCAACTAAAAAAGAACCCTTTCAAATCAGTCAAGATGGTTAACTTCTTGGCAACATCAACATATACATTTTTCAGATCTCTCCTCTAGAATTTGGAAGTTATCATTGCTATTATGAACAAAGGACAAGAGAAAAGAATAAATGGAAGTTATTAAGAGATATAATTATATCCTGCACTACTTGCTTGTATTGTTTTAGTCAATAGAGTATACTATTTGACTTAGGGATTGGCTTTAAGGTATCTGTGCTGCTAGTCTGATTGTGACTGCAAGGTAAATTCTATAAGGTCTTTTTGGTTTCTCCAAGGCATGACAGTTAAGTAACAGGCAACTATTACTGAGAAAGCAGTGAGACCCAAGGAAGGTGGGTTAGAGCCGCTGGTTGGACCTAAGAAGCCAATGATGGAAAGAAACAGGAAAATAAAAGCCTTCATTAGTTACCTTTTATATGTCCAAGGATATTCTAGGTATGTTTGCAGGTGCATTAATTGATATAATTTAATATTTATAAGAATTCTACATTACAATGAAAATGCTCTAAAGGATATACCTGTATGTATGTTTAACTGTGCAAGATCGATAACCATACTACTAAGTTTTTGTTAGTTTATCAAACAGAATGGTTTGTACTGTCATTGTTTGTCCATTTGTTATGCTTTGATTTTGTAACTTGAACAACTACTTCTAAGATAACAATATGTAATTTATCAACTAGTGATTCCTTACTGTTATTTTTTTTGAAATTCTGTCTTATTTCTACTCTTTTTTCTGTTTTGCTTTTAGTCTCTAAATTTAAAAAAAAAGAGAATTCTTCATTACAATAATGATTAGGTAGCTAAGTGCTCTGAACCTCAGTAAATACACCACATACGTAGAAAATAATATCTGCAGTTCTCAGTGATAAGAGTGAAATGTGAAAGCATGCGAGGCTCCCTATCACAAGGCCTAGAACAGGGCAGGCAGTTGATAAATGTCAGCGAGCCACCCACCTGCTTTATTAAAGGGAAACTGAAGTTTGGCCACATCAGCACAAATACTAAGAAGCTGGGCCAGGTGGGTACTGAGAAACAGCAGCACTTACTGCCCTCTTGAGCTATTACAGCCCCTTTGGAAAACAGTTTGGCAGAGTTTTAAAACTTGCACGTACATTTACCACATGATCCAGCAATTTCACTCTAAGGAGTACATTGAAGGAAAATAAAAACACATGTCATAAAAATCCTGCATCTGAATGTCCTTAGCTGCATTATTTGTAACAGCTCATAACTCATAGTGGACATAATCTAATACCTGTGAACCAGTGAATGCATGCATAGACAAAATGTGGTAAAGAATGAACTGTGGACTCATATTATGAGGTGGATGAACCCCCAAAATATATTTTCAATGAAAGATGTCAGCTACATTGTTTAACTCCATCAATATGAAATGTCCAGCAAAGGTAAATTTATAGAGACAAAAAGTGGATTAGTGATTGCCACGGGCCACGGTTAAGAACACGGTTAACTGTACATGGATGTGAGGAATATAGACTACCTGTAAATGGGTGTAAGACACTTCTAGATAAAACTAAAAGAATAGGTAAAAGTTTTGTACCATACTTTATTATTAATCTCTTTCATAGTCATATACTACTCTTCTGCTAATAGGTCATTTCTGCAATTCTGGTCTCCTATCTCAGTCTCTCCCACTTACCAGTAGAATCTGGCTGCTTGTGAGGTTCAGGTTTCTAATTATCTTTAACACCCTTCTCCTACCAACTCCCAGTCCTGAGTGATCACAGATTTCTCTGGCTTAAACAATGGCTCCCACATCAAGAGATCTACATAAGAATTGTGGACATCCTGGTTACGTACACCCAAGTGACCTTTTCTTTCTTATCTCTGAAGCTACCTGGGGCTTCCAATCCCACCTGATAGATTCACACACTTTGTTAGTTTTTGAAAACTACAAGTCATTTCTCATCCTAGTATTCTGACATCCAAACACTCTAACGAAACAGAATAGAGGTAAATATGAATAAATAGACATTGCCCAGAACTATGGAATGTTTTATCAGAAATAATCATCTCTTCACCCCAGCCCCACCTAACCTGGCAGCTGCCTCCCCTATGTTCATAGTCGCTGCCTTTTCAGGATTCAAATAAGACATTGAAAGGCTGTAGCTGAGCCACAACCCCAACTGCTAGCAACAAAACCTGGATCTGAACAGGTCTCTAGATCCACCAGTTTGCAAAAATGGAAGATGTGAGATGCTATAACACCATCGTAATATCATCTACAAAATCCTCAAATGCAAATAACACATCCATTAGGCATAAACTATGATTAGAAGAGGCTAAGAGGTATCTCAACCAAATCAATTATGTGGACATCACTTGGATCCTAGTTCAAACAAACCAACTATAAAAAACTTGGGAGCAATTCCCCACAGTGAATGTAATCCTTATGTACTGTACACATGTTCTTATAAAAAAATTTAAAAATTTATGAGAAAAAGTGCAAATTTTGAGCACTGGATATTTGCCACAGTACAGAATTATTAGTATTTCTAAGTGTGATAACAGCACTACAATTATGTTTTAAATAAAAGTCATAATAGTTGAGAGACAAATACTAATGTTTTCTTCAGTTGATGTCTGGGGATTGCTGCAGAACTCAGTGAGGAGTAAGATAGGATGAGATCTACCACATGTTGGTGATGAGTAGGTAGTAGTTCATTACACTTGTCTTTTTATTTTCATATGCACTTAATAATTTTACAATCAAATGTTTTAATAACACTTTTTTAAAAATCCCTGACTCATACCCTTCAAAAATCTTACCAGTGACATAGGGAAGTATTGCTGAAATGGTTACTCTTAGTGGGGAGAACATGTGACTTAAAAGATTATTTAGTGGGCAAAAGGGAAGAACACATGGGTGCATTAACATCTAGTAAGATTTCCATGTGTTTCATGCATTATCAGTCCACAGCAAATGTTACATATTTTTGTCAAGTAAGGATATAGAAAGAGTTGTTTTTGTACAATAGTATCTTTAAGACAGGATTTCACAAACTACTGTTTAATTTGTGATATTTTTCTTCTGGTGATTTTAGTTAAAATCTCTTTCTTAATTAAATCAGATTACACAAACATACACACACACAACAGATGTGAAAGTGGCAGGAAAAGCAATTGAAATAAATTCATATTACACTAACTCTATCAATGCTCAGGTTTGTTAATCATCTTGTCTCCATATTCTCTAATCTGTTCGCCTTCTAGGCATGTCTGAAGGTTTCTCGTGGTAAGATGGCTGACCCTGAAGGTCCCTCATTATCCTCTCTGTCCTGGAACCTTGACCAATGAGCCTTAACGATGTGACTCCATGCATCTGTGGTACTTCAGAATTCACCTCAAACAATTTGTTCATCCTTATCCAAAGAATTTTTGACATGTAGCTATGTTTAGTCTATCAAAATCACCTTTTTGTATTTTACAATCAGTGAGAGTATAAACTAACATATACCCATGCTTTTCTGAAACAGGCTTTAAACCAATGTCTAACATTCTGCAATTGTTAGAGTTGGTCTATAATGAAGAATGAATGCTGTACTTTCAATACCGATGGAAACATCTGGTACTTATAAGCTGCAAATCCAGAGAGAGGCATCTTCCAGCTATGGAGGGGGTAATTGACATTGTACCACATCTTTTGTTTCTCCATGAACCATGAGCCCTTGTTAGGCCACATCTGGGGACATAAGCAAGAACACCATGAACAAGTCTCACTTTGCCACTTGATGGTACCAGTTCTACCACAATGCAGCACCTCTGGTACCTATGAAGAGGGGTGTTTACCTGTGGGATTTGGGATTTGTGATTTTATTTAAGTATATGGGGTATCATTTTCAAATACAGGGAATCAAAATAAGTTCTTTTTTATTTTGAAAGGGAATAAAACCAAGCAAAGATAACACAGAATAAAGGCAATTAGGATGCAAAAATTAAAGTGATACAGGACTTCAAAACAATGGTAGTCAACAACTCTTGTTTTCTTCAAAATAGCTATCTGTACTATCAGACATAATAAAATCAAACAAAACAAAACAGAATAAAATAAAACAAAACAATGAAAACAATACAGGACTCAAAAGATAATAGAAACTTAACAGTGGCTACCACCTTCCCTGTTTAGAGGTTTCCTCCCCTACAACAGTATCTGCTGTACATTTTAGATCCCACTAACTCCAGTTTTTTATGCTAGAGAGCTAACATGAGGTTCACCCATGTGAGTTTAAACCATTTCACTCATGTGCATGATCTCCAGTTGCATCCATTTAGTTCAAGAACCTTGGGATTTATCATTTTTTACAGCTGGGTGACTTTCCATTGTATAAAAATACCATCTTTCTTATCTATTCTATGGTTGATGGGCAAACTATCCCTGCTTTTTTCTGGGTTTTTGTCACATAGAACACTGTTTCCTCTCTTTGACTTTTAGTCTATCAATTTCCTCTCAAGTTAAATGTGTTTCTTGTATACAGTACCCTGATGGATCTTGTTTCTTGATCCACTTTCCCTGTTTCTTTTTACTGCTGATCTGAGGCCATTTACCTTAATGATTATAACCAGCATACATTGGCTCATCTGCCATGCTATCCTTCTGCCATCAAGACAACTTCTTGCATGGCTGGTTTTAACTTTCTATGTAAAAACTGAAGGTTGTGGGAGCCTGCAGAGGGAGCCCTTGTATTAGGAGATAATGAACAGACTGGAGCACAAATCCTAGTT